ATGGAGGCTGGGAACTAAGCCTCCTTCTGTCCTAGTTTCTTCTCCCTTATTGGGGAGACTTCCTCCCTGTTTTGGGTGCATAGTCTGCTTATTGCTTATGCATGTGTGTTATATGGCACCTGACCAATCCCATTTCTATATCTGTTCCTGAGATTCATTGATTTTATATATATATATAAAATCTTCAGCAGCATAAGAGAGGTGCATGAACACCATCATCCCTGTGTTGACTGCTGGAGGGGAATGAACCACTGGCCATGGGGGACCAACGCCCACTATTAGAACTGGCCTTGATTTGCCTCTTCTCTGTGTAAATAAAGCATTGTTTCATCTAATACCTGTATATAAGTTGTATCTTCCCTGGTGACCTCAGACCTTGGCTTGACAGTTTGGCACAACAGAGTCAACATATCAGAACTTCATTTTTCTTTATGACCAAATAATATTCTGTTGTATACAATGATTTGTTTATCCATTCTTCTGTTGAGGGACATCTGGGTTGTTTCTACCTTTTGTCTTTTGTGAATACTGCTGCTAGAAATATCCATGTACATGTATCTGTTTTAGTGGCTGTTTTCAGTTTTTGTTGTGCAGGAGGTATATATCTAGGAGTGTAATTGCTGGGTCATATGGTAATTCTGGGTCCCTGGGTGCCACATACAGTTAAGCGCCCAACTACTAGCCAAAAGGTTGACAGTTCAAACCCACCTAGCGGTACCTCAGAAGATAGGCTTAGCGATCTGCTTCCAAAAGGTCATGGCCTTGAAAACCCTATGGAGCACTTCTACTATGTGTGCGTGGGGTCGCCATGAGTCCGAATCGACTCAACAGCAGCTAACAATAGCAACATGGTAATTCTATCTTTTAACTTTTTGAGGAACTGTTTTCCACAGAGGCTGCAGCATTTTATATTCTCACCAGCAATTTACAAGGGTTCCAATTTTTTCACATCGTCACCAAAGCTTGTTATATTTCCTTTTTCTGATAATAGCCATCTGAGTGGGTGTGAAGTGGTATCTCATTGTGGTTTTGATTTGCATTCCCCAATGACTAATGGAGGAACCCTGGTGGTACAGTGGTTAAGTGCTCCGCTACTAACCAGAACGTCCGTGGTTCAAACCCACTAGCTGCTCCGCGAGAGAAAGATGTGGCAGTCTGCTTCTGTAAAGAGTACAGCCTTTCAAACCCTATGGGGCAGTTCTGTTCTTTCATAATGATGTTAAACATTTTTTTGTGTGTGTGGGCTTGTTGGCCATTTGTGTATCTTCTTTGGAGAAATATCTCAAGCCCTTTTTCTAGTTTTTAATTGGGTTATTTGTCTTCTTGTTGTTTATATATTCGGATGTTAAACCCTTATCAGATATATGGTTACCAGATATTTTCTCCCATTCTGTAAGTTGTCTCTTCACTTTCTTGGTAAAGTCCTTTGATACACAATAGGCTTTAATTTTGATGAAGTACATTTCTCTGTTTTTCCTTTTGTGACTCATGCTTTTGGTATCATGTAAGAAGCCATTGCCAACTCCAAGGTCATAAAGATTTACTCTTAGGTTTTCTTACAAGAGTTTTATAGTTTTAGCTCTTATATTTAGATTGTTTTTCCATTTTGAATTAATTTTGTATGTGGTGTGAAATAGGGGTTCAGTTTCATTCTTTTGCATGTTGTATCTAGTTGTCCCTAGCACCATTTATTGAAGAGACCATTCTTTTCCCATTGAGTTGTCTTGGCACCTTTGTTGAAAATCAGTTGGCCATAAATGTATGGGTTTATTTCTAGATTCTCAGTTCTATTCAGTTGTTCTGTATGTCTGTCTTTATACCAGTACCACATTGTTTGATTACTGTAGTTTTGTAGTAAGTTTTGAAGTAGGTAAGTGTGAGTTCTCCAACTTTGTCCTCCTTGAGCAAGAATTTTTTTCCTGTGTAAGACCCCTTGCAATCCATATGAATTTGAGAATTGACTGCAAAAAAATCCATTAGCATTTTGATAGAGATTACTTTGAACCTGTAGATAGGGTCAGATAGTATTGTCATCTTAACGATATTAAGTCTTCCAATCCATGAACACAAAATGTCTTTCCATTTGTTTAGGTCTTCTTTAATTTCTTTCAGCAGTGTTTTGTAATTTTCAGTGTACAAGTGTTCCACCTCCTTGGTTAAATTTATTCCTAGTTATTTTATGCTCTTCTAAATGAAATTATCTTCTTAATTTTCTTTTCCCATTGTTTGTTATTGGTATATGGACACAACTGATTTTTGTGTGTTGATTTTATACCTATATAGTTGCTGAATTTGTTTATTGGCTCTATTCTTTTTGTGGATTCTTAGGTTTGTAATATATCTATGATCTTTGCTGAGGAATCAAGATGTAAAACCATATGTAGTTTTTCATGTATAACCTCCTAACTAATCTTATTTCCATACTTGTTCCCTTGCATTCTGTTTGTCACATAACAGCTAGAATAACCTTTTAAAATGATTAATCAGGCCATGTCATTTATCTGCAAAACTTTCCATTGGCTTCCTACATCAAAGTAAAAGCTTATATCATAACAAAATTCTACAAGGCCCTACCCAATCTGCCTCTGGCTAACTCTACCACTTTACTTCTCACTCATTCCAGTCATAGTAGCCTTGGCCTTGCTATTCCAGGAACACAACAAGCTCATACCTATCCCAGGGCTCTTTGTACTTTCCCTCCACCTAGAGCCCTATTGGAGCCCTGGTGATGCAGTGATTAAGCGTTTGGCTGCTAACCAAAAGATCAGCAGTTCGAATCTACCAGCTACTACTTGGAAACCTTATGGGGCAGTTCTACTCTGTCCTGTAGGGTCGCTATGAGTTGGAATCGACTCGAGGGCAGGAGATTTGGTTTTGGGGGTTTTGTTTTTTTTTAGAGCCCTCTTCTCTTAGATATTCACATGGTCCGTTCTCTTACTTCCTTAAGGTCCCTGCAAATGTCATCTCCTGAGAGATCTCCCAAGACCACACTACCTAAAATTTAATATCACTCTTTATCTCCTTACCATAATTTATTTTTCTTCACTTATCACTATCAGGCATACAGAATAGAGGTTTCTTGAAGATGAGTATTTTGTCTTTTTTCTCTACTGAATCCTCAGCTTTTAGAGTAGCGTCATATATAATACCAGAAACCCAAACCTGTTGCTGTCGAGTTGATTCCAACTCATAGCGACCCTACAGGACAGAGTAGAACCGTCCCATAGAGTTTCCAAGGAGCGGCTGGTGGATTTGAACTGCCAACCTTTTGGTTAGCAGCCATAGCACTTAACCACTGTGCCACCAGGGCTCTGTCAGGTATAGTAGACACCTAATGAATTATGTCAAATGAATGAACAAGGGAGTTTGGAAGAAAAACACAGTAATATCTGCCAAATAATGGGCCAAGCATTGTATTAGGCGTTTGATATACATCATTCACATTTGGTCTTAACAAACTTCTAAGGATAGACATTGTCTCCATTGATCAACAAGGATACTGAGATTTAGATAAGTTAAATAATTTGCCCTAGTATAACTAAGATTCAAAGTTTGGTGTACAGTATTTGACTCCAAAGCAAAGTCTTTTTCTACCCTATACTATAGAAAATATAAAGATAATAAATTTAAATTAAGTATGTATCTAAGTCCATATATAATTAAATTCAAATGAGTGGTACTGACAATAAAATTATAGTTATTTGGAAAACGAAGAGATCACTATGCCAAATTGAATTATTTGGCACATAAACCAAAAACCCGTTGCCGTCGAGTCAATTCTGACTTATAACACCCCTATAGGACACAGCAGAACTGCCCCATAAGGCTTCTAAGGGGCAGCTGGTGGATTCGAACTGCCAACCTTTTGGTTAGCAGCCGAGCTCTCAACCACTGTGCCACCAGGGCTCCGTTTGGCACATAGTATACTCAAAATCAAAGATACTGATTCATTCAATTTTTGAACAGCTAAGGATCTGGCCCTTAAATAATAACTAGAATTTGAATAGGTAGAAAGGAAAAGCCAAGGCCCTTTTAGGTACAGTTAACAACATAAATGTCAAAAAGTAAACTTGTTAAAAGGATAATCAGATTCATCTGGAGCTGGGAATTAATATTTTGGGGCACTAGGAAATAAGTTTGAGGAAAGTGAGTTGGACATCAGATTGTGAAGAACTTGAATGCCAGACAGTGGTGTTTGAATATTATAATTATTGGAGAGCTAGAGAATAAATAATGATACTGAACCTTTGTATGGATAATAAAGTGTAGTGGTTAAGAGTATAGACTTGGAAACAAAACTGTCTAATTTCAAATTCTGGCTCTGCCCTGTGCTAGCTCAGTAAACTTGAGCACATTACTTAACCTCTCTGTGTTTCAGTTGCCTCATCAATCAAATAGAGATAAATTTTTAACTCACAGAGCCATTGTGAGGATTAAATGAATTAATGTGTATGAAAATATTTAGAATAATACTTAGCACATAGTAAGCTTTAATAAGACTTAAATAGGACATAGTAATAGTTATAAATATTAACTATTGTCACTTACATGACATTTATTTCACATTGCTTTCATGTGTACTGTTTCTTTTAATTTTCACAACTCTGAGGTAGGTATAACATTCTATATAGCCTGCTTAATAATGGTTAAAAACTAAGCCAAAGAAGTTTCATCATACCAGAAATCCCCAGCCGCCAGAACTAATTTTATGATTCTAAGTCATTTTCACATGACTTTGTAATCTAAGAAACTAATGGAACAATGGGATGACTTGCAAAAAGTCAAGTTTTAGGAAAATCATTCTGGTGGAATTCTGCAGAGTAAAATGAAGAAAGGAAAGAACTTAGAGTCAGGGTTATCAGGCTCATGAAATAATCTAGGTTTAGATTTTATTTATAAAAAATTCCTATGCCAGGGTTGTATCATTGAGAATGAAAAGATAATTAAAGGAGACATTATGATTAATTTTATAACTAACCAATAAATTAATATTCTTTCAGCTGTATTTAAACTTGAAAAAGATAGAAGTGTGTGGCCCTTGATAAGAATATATCGGGGTGGCTTTCTTCTGATTGAATTCCTTTTTCTACTGGGCATCAACACGTATGGTTGGCGACAGGCTGGAGTAAATCATGTGCTCATCTTTGAACTTAATCCAAGAAGCAATTTGTCCCATCAGCATCTCTTTGAGGTAATCAAAGCAAGACATAAAGCACACAAATACAGTTTGCATTAGCTATATAAAGCTGGTTTCATGGATATTGGAATCTGTCTTCTACTTGAAGAGCATTATTGACTTAATAATTAAACATTTTTCTTACCTTTGTTTTATTAAAGATATTTTTGAGTAATAATAAAAATAACAATTGTCTTTTTTTGTCTTCCCCATCTTTACCAGATTGCTGGATTCCTTGGAATACTGTGGTGCCTGAGCCTTCTGGCATGCTTCTTTGATCCAATTAAGGTCATCCCCACCTATGTATATCCACTTGCCCTTTATGGATTTATGATTTTCTTTCTTATCAACCCCACCAAAACTTTCTATTACAAATCCCGGTTTTGGCTGCTTAAACTGTTGGTAAGTCCAGAAATTTGTATACCATTTTTAGAGTAATATATTGGTCATTGGCTTCCTCTAGAATGAAGCCGAAGCTGCTGGGTTGTATAACATCAAAAGGCACTGTTTATATTGTAGTCTATGTGAGTGCTGCCCCAGCTCCAGTGGCAACGAATACAGTATGACTGGTACCTCTGAGTTGTACAGTGCGGTGACTCCACGGCCCTGGAAGAGCACTCATGCATTTCTTCCTCCTAAAATGGAGTGTAAAGTGGCCAAGTGTTGAAATAACTTTGCAAATTGTAATCATTTATTACTTCATTATACAGATTATTTAACCACCTGCAATAATATGGAGAACATTACCAGTTTTCTTTAAAAAGTAGTAAAACTGTTGTTATTTTCCTGTTAAATTTAGGTGAATAGTTAATAGTTACATGAAATATTGGTTCTCTAAAAGCGGTAGGAATATCTTGTCAGAACACCAACTTTAATTCGGAAACCGACTTTGATTCTTGTTTATAAGAAATTTCTTTTCTTCTTCTACTTACCTGTTTCTTAATGATCCCAAATAGTACAGTCTGAGCATGAGGGTATAGAATTTCCTGCAAAAATCGTGGCTGTATTTTTTATGATAGTATAAAGATAGCTCTGGGAGGGAATTTCTGCTTACTCTTAAACTAGTTTTACTCTGAAAATCAGCTGGAAATGCTTTCATGTAATTATTTCTTAGATTATAAATTACAGCTAACAATAGAGTGAAGATTAATGATTATATTGACCAATCTGTACACCAAATTAAAAACCAATTACCATCAAGTCAATTCTGACTCATGGCATCTTCATGTGTATCAGTGTAGAAATGTGCTCCATAGGGTTTTCAGTGGCTGATTTTTCAGAAGTAGATTTCCAGGCCTTTCTTCTGAAGTACTTCTGGGTAGACTCAAACATCCAGCCTTTCAGTAAGCACCCAGTGTGCATTGACCATTTGCACCACCCAGGGACTCCGATCTCTACCCAAGCTTTTAGAAGTCCCATGATTATTTCTCGCCTCTTCTTCACTCATAAATTTACGGTAGTTTTTTGTTTGTTTATTTTCTTCTTCCTTTTGTATACCCCTTTGAATTAGCAGTTTTGGGCAGTTTTATTGTTGTTGTTAGCAGTACAATCACTATAGCACTAACAAATTTTTTTAAACTCAAGTCTTAAATATGACTTTCCTATTCAAAAGAAAATAGTAAGCATCTAGTAAATAAAAGGCAACACACATTTCAACTGGATAGCAATCGGGAAAAGAAAATGACCTAGATCACCTTGATTTTTTTTCCCCCAGCATTGTTACTTATTTTATCTTTTATGAAAATTTCACCTTCCACCGGGATTTTTATGATAAATTGAGAATCCCCATTTTCCCTTCCAGTTTCAGTTTAAAAAAAAACAAATCATTCCTTTCCAATGCAGCACTACTAGGCTTAACTTTGGGTTTGAATTCTGAGTGGGACACCTAAATGTACATGAGTGCTCAGATCAGTCATAAGCATACCATCACCTTTAATATATTCTGTCATCACCTAGCAACATACATTTTGGAGGGAGGTAGTTTTTTGGGAGCTTTTTTTGTTTATTTTTTTGAGACAGGAGAAAAATCTGAACTATTCTTTCTGTCTTCAGATTTATACTAAAAAATTAATCATTGCCAGTTAGTACAAGATTAGATTACTTTTATCATTTGAGATTATCTGTCACTTCATTACTAGATTTGATGGAGTTTTTAAACTGTTATTTGCATTAAAAATGTAACATTCTTTTGGTTACAATGAAATGCCTTTAAAATTATATGCACTTATTGTTCCCAGCCTCAATTAATGTGAAATCTCTGTAATGTCACTTTCAAATGAAATTTTGAAAGACTCAGAAAACTCAATTGTTACTACGATTCCATCATTGCAATAACAGGATAATATAGTTGTGTACATTTTGTACCAAGTGAGCATTTCCCAGGTGCATCCTTCTTTCTATAAATAGCAAGCTGTGATTCACGCATGCCCAGTTACTCTTATTAACAGAATGATTCCCTATTGAGTAGACATTTATCTGTGCATCTGCTGTGTGTTTGTTAATAAGTGAGGACTTGTTGATGGGTTAGATTGGCAATGCTGATATGATAAGTGGAGTAATAAAATAATTGTAAGAATGGCGTTGAGGTTGTCTGACCTCCTCCAACTTCACGAGGGAAAGAAGAGAATCACCATCAACATCAGCCAAAGGCTGATTCCTATGACGTGGAGGTCAGACATAACCTTCTCTGTCCAACCCTTTTTTTTTTTTTTTTTTTTTTTAACCAATTCTGACATCAGCATCCGTCCCAGGTACTGTTTCTCTGCTGCGTTCAGTAATTTGTTGGAATGACCACACAGAGCTCACAGACCATGCTCACAATTATGATGTTTATTAGGGAAGTAACAGGTTACAATTCAGGCTCAGGAATAACTCAGGATACAGTTCTTCGATCAGGACAGCTGCTCGGCTGTGCCCACAGGCAGGCTTTTCCCTTGGCCCCTGGGCCCCTTGGGCTGGCCTCTGCCCAGCTTCGGTAAGTGTTACAAAGCTGTTTCGCTCCTCAATAAGTGCCCAGAGGCACCCCACTCCACCAGGAAGCCTCCTGCCCGAAGGCACTCAGCTCTCTCTATGGGTCAGCAAGCCTACTGTAACTGCCCTCTCCATGGGCCAGGGAGCCCACCATGGTCTCTCGCACTGGTCTCCTGGTTCTGCTGCCACCATCTCTATGCTGCTACTTCTCACCATCTCATGCTCTCTTTTAAGCCTAGCGGGGTGGCAAAACCGACCAATCCCCTCGTTAGGGTTCCATACACCTTATTTGCATGGTCCCACTCCCACAAGGGTTCCATGTACCTTATTTGCATTATTAGCAGGCTGTCCAACTCCCTTGGTAGGCCACAAGCACCTTATTTACATAGCCTCACCCAGTCACTGTGTGGGAGTTATAAGACTGTACATAGCTAAAAGGGCCATATTAAGAAATTCACTGCACTACAATAATAAAAACATACTATCAGAAGTAGTGAAATACAGAAAGAAACATTGTGGTCTATTGTTTTTGTCTTAATAGTTCTAAACAATGTTATCATTTATAGATAATTCTAATATTAATGACCTATTGACTTAATTATAAGTCTCTTAAAATAAACTTGCCTTTAAATTTATTTCTTGTGAATTGACAAGAATGTTTCTTCCCCAGTAATTTCTCTGATGTAGCTTTTGTAAAACTATCTTTCTTTTTCTTTAATTTATACTGGAAAAAGCACATACATCACTTGACCATAGTCATAGGCACTGGCTGTCATTTATATCCAATTTTAAATCTGAATCTATGGAATAGATATGAGCTGCCTGTCCCCCCCCCCCAAAAAAAAAAAGCTTAAAATAGTTTCATATAAGAAACTGATTTATTATGATATGGATAGTATCTGTCAAATTAGTACAGGTTAATTACACCTATTAGGTCCTATATCCTCTTCCCAGATCTGTATTTGCCCTAAGCAGAAATCCAATTAGGAAACATAAACAGTACCTCAGATTTTCTAACAAAAATATCAGTTATTCTTATCGTAAGTTAATTAAAAATTTTAAATTAGAGTCCATGGTTGTATAATTTGGGAGTTGGTTTATGCCAGTCTTTTCTTTGGTTGAATATATAACATTTTTACACATGTACTACAAGAATAGGTTAGAGAGGTGTTCTTATTTAATAATGACTAACATTCACTATGCCAGGCACTGTTCTGGGCATTTTATATGTATTAATTTATTTAATCCTTTTAATAATCCATGAGGTTGGATCTACTGTTAATCTCCATTTTACAGATGAGGAAACTTAGATTCAGAGAAGTTAAATAACTTGCCTGAGGTCACACAGCTAGTAATCTATATTCTTTTTCTTTAAGATAATTTATTTTGTTGCTGTTGAGAATATACACAGCAGAACATACACCAGTTCAACAATTTCTGCATGTAGAATTCAGTGACACTGATTATATCCTTTAAGTTATGCAACCATTCTCACCCTTCCTGTCTAAGCTATTCCGTCCTCATTAACATAAACTCATTGCCCCCCTAAGGTTCCTGTGTAATCTTTCAAGTTGCTGTTGTCAGTTTGAGCCCATATAGATAATTCTTAAAAGAACACCATGCTAGAGGCAGACATTCTTTACCAGTTAAGCTAAATTATTGTTTGGTTTTAAGAAGACTTCTGGGGATATTTTTAGTTTAAAGTCGTAATCTGTACTCTTAAATGCTAACATTTAGCAGTTACATCTGTTAGTCACCTTGTCTAATGTATGTAACTTGGTTCAAAACTAGTGGCAATAAAAATCAAATTTGGAAAGAATGTGACTATCCACAAGCCTCCAAAAAGTACAAAGACGATGTTTAGCAAAATGAAAGTTAACATTGTTTGTGATAACTTATTAGTGGCTTTTTTGTGTATGCACGTAAGTCATCAGATATCCAGAATAGTCTCTAGCTTTAATAATACTGTTTCTCAGTGAATCATTATCACTTTAATCAAAGTCATAAGGTAAAAGTAGAGAAGTTGAAAGGTCTTAGTCTGAATAAGAAAGGAAAGAGAGGCAAGATACAGGATTCTCACTTAAAAAGGGTATTCATATCAATCTAAAGTAAATTTGACTGTGTAAATGTCAGGAGTGTAAAGTAAGATGTTTGCCCTCCCCCCCCCCATCCCACCTCTAACAGAGTTACTTGGTCTCTTCTTTGTATTTCTGGGGTATTTTATGTCTACCTCTGTCTTAGGACTTATCACACTGTGATACAATTATTTCTGTAAGTATTTGTTTCCCCTGCTAGACCGTAGGTATTGAGGTCATCAGTTGCTATTGAGTCGATTCTGACTCATGGCAATTCCGTGCATGTCAGAGTAGAACTGTGCTCTGTAGGGTTTTCAATAGCTGATTTTTTAGAGGTAGATTGCCAAGTCTTTCTTCCAAGGTACCTCTGGGTGGACTCAAACTCCCAGCCTTTCAGTCAGCAGCCAAGCACATTAACCATTTGCACCACCCAAGGACTCCCTTCGTGGGTAGGAACTATGTTTTTATTTATATGTGTAGCTCCACAATGCCTCACATATAGCAAATACTTAATAAACTTTTGTTAAATGCATGAATGACTATAATTATATTCTTTCCTTCATTGGTTGTATTTTATCAACATTTACTACTCCCTCCTTTCTTCCTTGTTTTCATTTTCTCTTTTCTGTAAACTTACCCTTCCTCCCATTTTCTTTTAATTTTCATGCTACTCCCTTCCTTTTCCAGTCCCATCCTTCCATCCCCTTTTTTTTCTTATTTAATTCCTTCTCCTCCTCTTCTGCTCTTATGGGGGTTTTTTGTATTAGCCAGGTTTTGAGACTGGGTTTGGCAGATTTTGAGAGTAATGGCAATTTATCTCGTGTCAATTGTTAGCTTAGAAATAGGCTACCAATGTCACAAAAGTCCATGACCAGAGATTGGATTAGACTGCCTGATCCTTAGTTGTGATAGCTCTGTCTTTTTTAATCCTTTAAGTCCATCCTGCACTCTAGGGTTTCTTAAAATACTCCACAAACTAGCACCAGAACCCCGTTCATTCATGGATGACTAACATCTCACTCAACAAAAAAAGAGTTTGGTGTGTCTGGAGCTTATAGTTGCAAATGGTATAGCTTCATTCTGTGAATGAATGTAAAAAATGAACGTACAAAAATTCTATCTTGTCTCTCTGGCTTGTTGCACTCACTGAAAGAGTGTGGGGGTGATCAGAAGACTGCACCATAGGCTCAAAATATATCAGCTCCAAAAAATAATGTCTCACCATCTGCATTGTGTTTCACAGACATCTACTCTAGCTTCCAAAGCTCCAAGGCGATGTCTGTCATATGTAGTTCACACCCAGGATTGATTCATAATATAGCCATTTACCTTCCTGAAATAATAAAGGGAAATATTTAGAGCAAGAATAGAAACCAGCTAAGTCTGAGAGAAGAGAGCCATAGACTCCCAAACCAAATGTATCTACTAAATGAATACAGCTAGGTGGCAGAGGAGCTAGAGATTTAGACGTATTTTCTCAAAACTACCGCTTCGTCAGAAGTTCTTGTTTGGGGAGTCCATTTTCTGCTGTATGAAATAGAAGGGGTCTGACAAGATAAGGATTAAAGCTGCCTTCATCCCATGTTCACATAAGGCTTTTCAAGGCAGTCTGCTTAATTTGAGCCAGATTGTGGTGACTCGCATTAGTGTCTAATCCTTCCTGGTCTCTGCAATGCTAGGATTTCCCTTTGCGGTAGTAAACAGACTTCCACAGATGAGTCAGGATGAGTTTGTTGTAGTCTTGTATAAAATGAGGATATAAATAGTACCTCGCTTGTAAAGTTGTTACAGTTAAGTAAATTAATGCATATAAAAGCAGGTAGAAGAATACACAGCATGGACTAGTGGTCAACACATTTAAGCTGTTACGTCATTGTTTTCATAACAGTCGTATGAGGACTGATTTTTGTGGCCGTTTCAGGATGAACACAACCATCACCATGGCATCAGTGAGATGAAAGTGACTTTGGTTAGAGGATTAAGGCATGCTTTAGACTGTGTACCACCCTTTCCCCCTCCTCCCCCCACCTTTTTTTTTGGCCCATCCTTGTAGGCAGAGAAGAGCTTTGTATTCAGCTAACTAAGATGGGAGAAAATTCCAGAAATTACAGTATTGGGTCTCCAGGAAAAAGCAACCTGGAGCCGAACACTAGACCTCTCAGTGCTTCTACCTTCTGCCATTCCCTCTGCCTTCAACCTCAACTCTGCCCACCTCTCTCCTTTCTATTTTCTAAATAGCTATTCCTGCCTCACCTCATTCCCTTTTCTACTAGTTCTCAACCTAGCCACCATTGCCATGTTTGTCTGTGATTGGCTCATTATCGTCCATTTATCAGCTAAACAATCATGCTGCATGGTCAAAAATGAATTTAAAAAATTTAATATGACTCCTTGTTTCTGTGTTCCTGATTTTTTTTTTTTCTTTCTCCCAGTTTCGAGTATTTACAGCCCCCTTCCATAAGGTAGGCTTTGCTGATTTTTGGCTGGCTGATCAGCTGAATAGCCTGTCAGTGATACTGATGGACCTGGAATACATGATTTGCTTCTACAGTTTTGAGCTCAAATGGGATGAAAGTAGGGGCCTGTTGCCAGATGATTCAGAAGGTAGGGTAAGAATGTTGACACTACTAAACTGCCGGTGTAAACCAAGAAACATTGGGAATGGCAACTGAGAAATTTGAGGTTATGATGAAAACTCATCCAATAATATTGCAAACTTAATTAAATGTATTTGGCACTCTTAGCAATCTCTTTATCTGATATAATTTGGCTCTTAAATTATGTGTTAGGATTTTACCATCCATTTGCCAAGAGATTTACAACTTACACTTAAAGAATCCTTGAACTAAAACTAAAAAAAAACAACAGTTCCAGTACATTGATAGTTGTATCACAGATGCTTTAGTGCCAATAATTTGCCATCATAGTATTGCTTTATAATATTACATAGATGCCAATGATCAAAAGTGCCAACTTTAGAGTTATGACATGTGCTTTGAGAAGGTCTTTATAAATTTTTTTTTAAGTCTTATTTGGTACCTTGTTTTTGTTCTGAATCTTTTTCCCACTTTTAGCTTATGCCAGTAGTTCGGGTTATAAAGGAATTTTGCGTTAATGATAACAAACCTAATTAGACAGATTATTTAACATCTGACTAACAAAAGTTAACTAAGCCAGTGTTGACACATTTTCATTGATTGCCGGTGGATTATAACTCTATTGTAGATGGGTTGATCACACTATTGTAGGTGACCACACCATGATATATTCCTAGAATTCAAAAACGAATTGATTTACCAACTCCGTTTTTCTTATTTAAAAACACAGACTTCATTTCTTTGCCAAAAGAAGAACACAAGAGTATGAATAACCCATAAACCCAAAAACCAAACCCACTGCCATCGAGTCGATTCTGACTCATAGCGACCCATAGGGTTTCCAAGGCTGTAAACCGCTACAGAAGCCGACTGCCACATGTTTCTCCTGCGGAGCCGCTGATAGTTTCAAACCGCCAACCTTTCAGTTAGCAGTTGATCACTTTAACCACTGTGCCAACAGGACTCCTGTGATGAACAACCTATAGTGGGTGTATTATATTACAGTGGTTTGGAGTTCATGAAATTTTTGGTATTTGTAGGTTTTCCAGATGTTTCAAATTACAGAGCCAACCTCTGTATCAGTATAGGTTGTTTTTTTTTTTCTTTTGATTAAAAAACCCAAACCCCTTGCTGTAGAGTTGATTCCAACTCATAGCGACCCCATCGGATGAGTAGAACTGACCCCTAGGGTTCCCAGGGAGCGGCTGGTGGATTTGAACTGCTGACCTTTTGGTTAGCAGATGAGCTCTTAACTGCTACGCCACCAGGGCTCTAATCTTCTAATTTTCCTATAGTTTTATCATTTGCCCCAGAGAAGGTGATTCCAGAACAGATAGTCAGAATCCTGAGAGGGCAGTTCTTCCCACTAGTCCCCTCTACACATCTTACCTTCTTCTCTTGCTTACGTACCACTAAAAAAATTAGCAATAGTGGTAAAGAAGTAAGTGATTCTGAAACCTAGTCTCCTAGCTTTCACGGACTTGCTAGTTTTTTACATTATATGGCTAAATGATGTGAACAAGTTTTTTTTTAATTGTATTTTTTTTTCTTTGAAATCTTCACAGAACCAGAAATTTGCCACCAATATTCATATGGTGTGCGGGCCATTGTTCAGTGCATTCCTGCTTGGCTTCGCTTCATCCAGTGCCTACGCAGATACCGAGACACAAAAAGAGCCTTTCCTCATTTAGTTAATGCTGGCAAATACTCCACAACTTTCTTCACGGTGACGTTTGCAGCCCTTTACCAAACTCACAAAGGTATTTTATGATCATGAAGAGATTTTTCAAAACCAGATTTTCACTTATGAATCTGTTTCTTACTTTGATTGTTTTTCCAGTGTCATGTCCTTTTTTTCTATTGACATTCCAGTCCCCTCAGTCATACCTGTTTGCTTCTGAACACAACTTTAGTCTCAGTCCAATATTTACTAAGAAGTACCATCAAAAATAAACAAAGTAACCCAGAATGGAAAGATTTGTGATAATGTTTGAAATCCTGAATTATGTTTGATAGACTCTATGTATGGGCACCTTGGGTTTTCATTTGCTTTTTTAGACTTCCTTGTTCATTAATGAGGTTAGGAAATGCTAGGTGAAAAAGATCCCCTCTGGCAATCATGTATATTTTTAATCGCTTTCCTTCAGCAAGTAGTAAGGATTGTTTCCAGCCCATTTAGCTGCAAATTGAGTTCTCTGATCCCTCTAGTTTCTTATCTCCATGGCAACCTGTTATTACTTGAGATTGCTTGGGAGGAGAAAAAAGCTTTTAGGTTCTGAGCCACATGCAGTCACTGCCTTTGAATTTTTAACCTTTTTCCAAGAACTGTCAGTCAGAGCTCTATCTAGCTTCCTTTTACTAAAATTCATTTCTTCTTTGTCTACTTAACATCAGCCCACACTTTAGAAGCTACAGTTTCTCATCCGTAGATGGTAGAAAAGTATTACTAATAAAGTTATTTTTAAATACTTAGGTGAAAATTTTTTTTTTTTTTTGGACAGGCTGTGTTTCAGGAGCCTTAGCTCGTGCTGCGGAACTGCTTCGTATCTAAAGCATGTCTAAAGGTCATAAAAGATTAAGGCGTTATTTTAGTAAGCCTTGAAATTTGGTCCAGGAGAACACACTATAACCTACTTTCACTTTTTGCAGTAGATTCAGCAGTTACAGTAGTATTGATAGATGTAGCCAATAATTTTACCTCCATGTAGGCATTCTTGTTAAATGATATAATTTAACTAAGTGCCTCAGCGAAGGAAACACATCCGCAAAGCTCCCATAATTTTACCTCTTGCTAAGGAATGCCGTCATTCAGTCCAGACAGGCATCATGATTCAGAAGGCTATCACTAGAGAATTTATAGATCGGACCACTGATTTGTTACAGGTACCCTATGACTCCTTTTACTGATGATCAAGAACCCTGTACTTTTCTCCAGTTCTGGGTAAAAAATGAGTACTGTTTTTTTGGTTGAATATTTTAGGACATAAAACCAAACCAAAACCAAACCTGTTGCCATTGAGTCAATTCCAACTCATAGCAATCCTATAGGACAGAGTAGAATTGCCCCATAGGGTTTCCAAAGAGCGGCTGGTGGATTCAAACTGTCGACCTTTTGGTTAGCAGCCAAATGCTTAACCACTGTGCCATCACAGCTCCTTTAGGACATAATGTATCTTTAATTATACTGATACTGTTTAGTAAAAGACTGAAAATCTGAATTCCTCAGTTCTACCAACATTCCAAACCTGAAAACCCAAAGCTAGAGAAGCAGTGGCTTGGATAGTATTGTGGTCTTTAGGCAGTTTTTGCTTATGTACCCCTTTAAAGAATTCTTTTTAACTATATTACCTCTTGCTCATTTTTAAATTAACATCTGAAATTTTTCATTTTAAGTTTCAGTCATTACAAGGAATGTGGTTCTGTGTATTTTAAATATTCACATTTTTTAAAAACTAAGTTTTTATATCTAAACAAAAAAGCAATTTGATACTCACCATGATTTGTTATTTTAAAAATGAAGAAATTCTATAATGGAAATTTTTCATCCCTTTCCCGTTGAATTTTTTTTTAAAATAATATGGCTTTATTTTTTAATGACTTTTGTCTGCCACATATATGTGTAAATTGAAATTTAATTTTTGTTTATTTCCTGTCACTCTAAGGCTTTAAGAGATTAAATTTTTTCCTTTCTAAGTTATAATTATCATTGCCCTGATTATTATCTACAGTTGATCAAGACATTACAAATGTATTACAGATTTTAATAAATAATTATTATACATTTATTGAGATAAATTTATATTACTTATTTCTGTTCCCTTTTTTAGTTTTCATATAAGTAAATTCTGAGAAACTTTGTTAACGAAGATGTGCAGATGAGAATGGAAGGCGTTTTGTTGATGCAGTGTCACTCAGCTTTTTGAACAACTTCTGAGTTACTTGCTGTCAAATTATTTAACAAAAACAAAAAAAAACAGATGCAGATTTTAATGGGGGAGGCTTTTATTCAGAAAGAAAAGGGAGAAAGGGGAAGGAAATATCATAATCATGGGAGAGAGGGACTACCACAGTACGGAAAACACTCCAACAGTAAGATCAGCAAGCTAAGGTCTGCACATGTCTCAAAAAGTTAGGGAAAAAGTGTTTTTTTTTTTGTATAGAGACTGAGAATAAACAAAGCTAGAAAAAACCTAGGTGTGGGAAGATGAGATAAAAGGGGGACGTGATCAGATAGTAAGAATGTTTTGTGCTGAGGCCAGTCTGTTCTTTGGGAGAGACCCTTAAAGAAGGGAGTGTATTGGCTCAGGCTGAGGGTGGGCCAGAATTCAGAAACCTGGGGGAAGGGGAAAAGCTTCACCGAAGTTTGGTTAACAGGCACTTTGTTTCTGATTGATCAGTGGGGTAAGCAGTTCTGTTACTCATTCATGAGGCAAGGAATGGAAATGGGACATCCATGAGTCTTATCTAAGTTTTGAAAGTTGGTTATTTGTAGTAAGCCATTTTCCTGAACACAAAGAGTGAGGGGAATTTCTTTAACTACTGCTATTCCCTTACCTCCCCCATACCACAGGATTCAGGTAAAATTTAACATTATGAGTGCCTGAAAAATCACAGTGGTCTATCATCTATAATTATTTTTAGTGATCTGTCAAGTTTTCTTTGTTGAAAGCAAAGAATTGGAAATAACCTGAATGAAAAAGTATTTGTTAACCAGCATTAGAGTCTTTCACTTTCTCAGTTTCTGAGCAGTATACCAAAAAGACTTATATAGGACCTATCATAGGAATATTAATTTTAGAGGCTTCTTGTTTAGCCCAGCATACTCAGAAAGGCTTAGGAGCATCAAAATATTGTTAATGTCAATACACATTTGCTAATGTAATATTTTTTTTTTTTTATGAAATGGTTTTATCACATTTTTTAAATGAATTTTTGACAAAATCTTGGAGCTGCAGATTACTCTCATCCAATTTATGGAGAATATCTGCCATATACCCTAATGGGGAAACCAGTCAGCCAAATCAGAAGAAGTTTTTACTTCAGATTAACATTTACTGTATATACATCCTTGTGTAAACATCTCACTTCTTAATTCTGAATTAGGTGTGGGTGGGTGGGTGGATGCGTGGATAGATGGATAGATAGAACGAGCATGCATTCAACAAGTAATTATTGAAAGTATTCTCTATGTACCAGGGCTGTGCTAGGTACTAGAGATACAGCGACAAACAAAATACAGTTCCTGCCCTCAAGAAATTATAATCTGTGTTGATGGGAATGTAAAATGGTACAACCACTTTGGAAATCGATTTGGCACTTCCTTAAAAAGCTAGAAATAGAAGTAGCATACGATCCAGCTATCCCGCTCCTTGGAATATATCCCAGAGAAACAAGAGCCGTCACACGAATAGATATATGCACACCCATGTTCATCGCAGCACTGTTCACAATAGCCAAAAGATGGAAGCAACCTAAGTGCCCATCGATGGACGAATGGATAAACAAACTATGGTATATCCACACAATGGAATATTACACAACGATAAAGAACAATGATGAAGCTGTGAAACATCGTATAACTTGATGTAAGCTAGAACTTATTATCCTGAGTGAATTTAGTCAGGCACAAAAGGACAAATACTGTATAAGACCACTATTATAAGAACTCAAGAAAA